TTAGGATTAATTGACTATCCTTCTTGTGTACACTGTTTCTTATGCTGTGACTACAAGCTAAAAAGAGACGAAAAGTTCCTACTCGTTATAATGTTAACACTTCCACCTCTGTCTGCTCTAGTATAGGTTAGATCCCTTCCACACATGGAAATTTATAACTGAGAAAATCCTGGTAGTTCCATTAAGTCCATATTGAATTTATTCTAACGTCCTATATAAGTCTTTTGTTAATCAGTGACCAGTCAAGTAGTCTAGCAAGTATTCTCCTATTAGTTCAAGCCTTTTTAGTCTGATATGAGCGTTCTGTTGCTTGTCCAGAAACATACCAAGTAACAAAATTTATACTCGTAGGGAAGAAAAATGCTGTCCATGTATAAGTAAGTAGTGTAATTCGTCAAAATGGATTAATTCCTTTTGGTTTATTTTTATGTTTCAATTTTTATACCACTTAGGATAGATAGATATATAGATAACATGCTTTATTTACATTAAAGAGAAGCATTACATAATATACAATATTAAAAGCATTTTACAGCATGGATGCTTATCCGTCTGTCGGAAGTTGGCTGTTCTTTTTCAGGCGAGCGAAAAATAAAAAATAAAAATAAACTATATAATAATGGTAATAATAGAAAACTATAAGTAAAAACTAAATTATAAAAACTAGCTGATTTTGGATACAAGTTAAACAATTATGACTCGGTATTATAATCGTACCTATATTGCCAGGCATGACGTGCATAGTGTGCTAGACCTTTCGACCTCTCCATATCCACGATATTTAACAGATCAAGCAGCTGAGACTTGGAAAGCGATTTATAACCTAGATACCGGTTACGGAGTTCAGACAGTATGGGATGCTGGGCAACAAAATGAAAGATATCTTCTCTAACCCTTAGGTTACAGAGCGTGCACAAGAAATTTCCGACGTCTTCCTTTCATGGCACAGAATTGAGGAACACTTGCTCGCATCTGAGTTTAAGAAGCCACCGAAGAGTCGAAAGTTTTATAGACCCACTAGCTTGAACATTTAGGTTAAAGATTTCCTTAGAGTGGTCTAGGGCCTTAAAGAGAAGATACCTGTTGGATACCTCATAACTCACACGATGTTGATCACGTAGTCTGCACAAAAGTTTCATGGTATAATTGGGCCAACTCGAGAGGTTTTCTAAACAAAAAGAAAAATCGTAACCATATTGAGAAGCTAAAGTATTCCATTGCCGAAACCAAGAACCATTAGATTTAATAACCTCGAGAGCAGTAATTTTGGAGATTCTGGCAACAGGGCCCTTAAGTACCCTTAAAACAAATGAAAAATGCAGGGAAAGCGTAAAAACGAAAATTTTATCCACTGCCGTCTCCATATAAAGCATATAGTTTGGAGTAGAATTAGGCAGCGAGAAGATCTTCCTAATAAAAAAACGTTGCATAATTTCTATCACTTCATAATCCCGGAACCCCCACACCTGGCCTGCATAACCCAAAATAGAACGGCACACTGCATTAAATACCTTGTACTTAGAATAAACCGGGATGAGATTCCAAAAAGTAACGCCATGTTCTATACAAAGCAACCTTCGCCACTGAAGCTTTGGATTTTTGATGAGGGGTAAAAGAGGATAGAATGACTATTTGAAGTCGTGAGATGCGGTCTGGTGTGACGTAGGTTTTAGAAAAACATTTTCCTTATCGTGCCAACGTTTCGATCTTTATTGAGATCATCTTCAGGGCCTGGGATTTACAAAAATTGTTTAAATTTAACAAATAAATGTAGGGTGTGGAAAAAAGTGAATGTACACAATGCAAAAAAATATTTTTTATATTCAATCAAAGTATTTAGTATCCATACACATGTATTTGTTAAATTTAAACGATCTCCGAATAATCTCATCGACTAACTGTCACTAATCTCCACACATTAGGATAGAATGTTGGAAAAGGATAGCTGTATCATCAGCAATATAGATGTAACAGTTTTACACTATAAGAACCATATCTTGGGTGTAAATTGAGTAGCTGAGTTGCATTATGGCACACATTTTATGAAAAAAAATTCAAGGTACCAAGATGAAAATTAAAATTGAACCAATCATTTAAATTTGTTTAGAAATCGTGAGATGCAATCTGGTGTGATGTAGGTTTCAGAAAAACATTTTCTTTATCGTGCCAACGTTTCGATCTTATTGAGATCATCTTCAGGGCCTGGGATTTACAAACAATGTTTNACAATGTTTGTAAATCCCAGGCCCTGAAGATGATCTCAATAAAGATCGAAACGTTGGCACGATAAAGAAAATGTTTTTCTGAAACCTACATCACAACAGACCGCATCTCACGATTTCTAAATAAATATCGATTAACGGTCACTAATCACCACACACAATAATTTAAATTTTCTTTTTGAGCGTTGTGAAGATCAAAATCATTGATAATCCACGGTTTCAAGGTCGGGAATATATGCTAATTGGGAGAGAATTTCGAATTCCAGTTAATTTCTAATTTAGAATATGAGGCCCTGCTCTGCCACGTTGAAAGGGGATAATTTTGCAGTTTAACAAGCTGCGTATTCGTCGGAAGGCGACAGCGTCGTGCTGAATTCAGTTTGGAATTCATTCCAAAATATCGTTCATTCATTGGCTAGTACGAAAAATCAAAACGACATTAAAACATCTACTGTTCAAGATCTTCAGTTCTAAATTGACCAAACAACGACTTTCTCCTTCATTTACATGATTTTCCCTGGTGTCCCGGATAGTAGAGTATTCGCTGTACTACTCTAATACAATTTACTTATATTATTTAGTGGGGAAGATCCCACACATCGTTTCAATTTCACCTTTCCCGATGACACATGAATACTGTTAAAGACATTTGATTTTCTAGAACACACGATATTATTATTCAAGGTGAGTTGGCGGTAAATGAATTCGTTCTCACAGAAATGTGTCACAAAAATGTTGATACTCTTTGCCATGAATTTTCCTACGAAATATCGACGACTTCAAGGTTTTCTCAGGGTTCTTACCTTGGCCCAATACTGATGAAAATTCTTTAACTATCTCCTTGATTCTTAACAGTCTTTCTTGGTCTTGGCCTTATCGTTTACAGTGAACTATTTAAGGTCATTTTCTCTGTTGATGACTGTCGTATTTTGGAGGATGATTTGCGTAAATTTTCAGATTGGTGCTAAAACAATGGACTTATTATTAATGTAGATAAGTGCCATGTAACTACCTTTAGTTGATCAAACTCTTAACTCTAGTTAGAATATATACAGTCAACGCATTTCTCGTGTTACCACAATGGTGTTTTTTGTTTTTTGTAGTAGCTGTGCTGCAGTGAGAGGAGAGTTGGCGTCTCCCGAAATAATCTTGAAAAAATTCATTTTTATAAAATTAATTCTTTTGGGTATATTACACACAACTTACTCGTTTATAATATAGAGATACATTTTATCCTAACAAGTCTTCAAAATATCCGTATTAATTAATTAAGGTTTTTAGTTGAGATAAAAAAGTCAATGGCACAATCGGGATTCGAACCCACGATCTTCGGCTTGATTCACCGCTGCTCTATTACTTGAGCTATCGTGACCTCGATCCGCTCGGACACCAACTTCCCATCTCAACCGCACCTTTTGAATTTTCCCTCCTTTTTGCCATTTTTCAAATGTGTAATCGGATTGGATTCTCGACGACAAATGAAATGTCCACGGAGAGCTTTAATGAAGTATAATTCATTTTAAATCATATTTACTAATTTCCTGGTCCGCTTGACCAATTAATATTGTAAGAGCGACGGCGTATCAAGCCGAAGATCTTGGGTTCGAATCCCGCTCGTGCCATTGACTTTTTTATCTCAACTAAAAACCTTAATTAATTGTAATATATTAATTGGTCAAGCGGACCACAAAATTAGTGAATTTAAATCCGTATTAATATTGAAACTGTGCAATTGGTTCTCTCCCATAAATTATTTCTCACCTCTCATTTTCATAATTCCTCATTATTACTCCAGTAAAATTTCAAGATTGACATTTTGGTATACTTATTACTATTGCCGACAGGGATAAACGGTGGATATGCTCGGCCTCTTGGGCTTTTCTCTTTTTCTACTCACCACAGAGGGGTTTTCGAGCAGGATAAAAAGATCGGTATTATTAAAGAACGAAAGAAATTCTGTCGTAGATATAGAGGGTAAAAAGAGAAAAAAAGAAATGGGAATTTACTATTGACAATCTGCCTTATAAGTACATATCTGTCGTCCGTGGATTACTTTAAATATACAGGACATACACAATTATTATATTACATTCTGTTATTACAAATTCCTGTTAAAATATTTTTGAAGTGAGTTTTAGTTTAAAAAATCAATAGTAAGACTGTAGTAATGGTTCATCATAGGAAAAACGCCTGCACATATTAATCATTTATACCCGGCTGGCCAATTAATTAGAGTATCTGAATCATATTTTCCAACTGGTTTTGGGTTCGAATCCTTGCATAACTCATGGAATTTTTCATTAAGGATAATATGCGAAAAGAATTTGTTAATGTCTTATGTCTTTGCATACTAACCAGAGAACGATGTTGATTAATGTTTTATGAACGGGAATAGATTGGAAATTCCAGTTGTGCCTTCGGGATTTGAATCCACGATCATGAGCCGACAAACTAAGAGTCCACTTGTCTGTAACACCAAACGGTTAGTTGGACGTTAACCCATACTGTATGAAATGAATTACTTCACTTTTTTTATTAATCATTGTAAATATTTTAAAATCAATGGAAAATCGAACAGCGGTACAAATAAATTAGTATTTAATTTTATGTTCATTTTTCCATTGGAATGTTTATCAATAACCAATTTAATATCAAATATTTGATCGTTAAATTTAAAAGTTTGGTGATGACGTGTGCTTGTTGAGTTATCAGAGATTTACAAAAAATAAAACAGTTCTATTTCCAAGGTGAGAATTATTTTTTTTAAATTTGTTACAGAGTTGCCCGATGGTGCACGGCATAAGTTCAAGATGACCAGAAATGATGTGGGCGGTTCGGGTGCTGTTGTTAGGAGTGGTGTGTCGTGAGGTGCTAGCTGCTCCCGACTGGACGGACTGTCCATCGACCTGCAGCTGCAAGTGGACTTCGGGGAAGAAATCTGCTCTTTGCCGCTATGCGGGATTCACGGCAATCCCAGATACGCTAGATTCTGACATGCAAGTCTTGGATTTGACTGGCAACGAAATCCCATTCCTCACAAAAGACGCATTTAAAAGTGTCGGTCTCCTCAACCTGCAGAGGATTTTTTTAAAAGGTGCTGGCGTTCGCGAGTTGCACAGTGACGCTTTCAAGAAGTTGACTATTCTCGTCGAAGTCGACTTATCAGACAATTTAATCGCAACATTGCATCAAAATACTTTTGCAGGAAACGATCGGTTAAAAGTACTGTATTTAAATGGTAATCCAATAACCGAACTAAAGCCGACTCAGTTTCCACACCTTCCACATTTAAAAACTCTTGAAATGCAACATTGCCAGATAACGGAAGTGAACAGAGACGCGTTCCTACATTTACCCGCTCTTGAATACCTTAACTTGAACGGAAATCGGCTAAAAAAGATTGCCGAGACTGTCTTTTTACCTTTATCCAAATTAAAAAGCCTATCGTTAGATGGCAACCCCTGGAAGTGTGACTGTGACCTTAGGGGTTTCAAAAATTGGTTGTTATCATCCAACTTGTACTCTCACCCTCTCGTGTGTACGGAGCCTAGCGCTCTCGTATCGAAGCACTGGCAAGATATAAAACCTTTGGAATTCGCTTGCCCGCCGGAAGTCTCCGTTTCAGACTCGATGCTCCAAGAAGAAACGGGCATGAACGTAACATTAAAATGCCGAGTCAGAGGCGATCCCGAACCGCACGTGTCCTGGCTTTTCAACGGGCACAGCATCGGTAACGGGACGTTACATAACCAGGATCAGATCTTGTTGATTGAAGAAGAAGACGGTGAGGTCAAAGCGGAAAAATGGAGTAGCTTGAGCATTATTAATGTGAGTGAAGCGGACGCTGGAGAATACACTTGTGTAGCTAAAAATATAAGAGGCCAAGCGGCCACGAACGTGTCGCTGTTACTTCCAGAAGTAGTAATTGCAACGACTGTCAGTAAAAACGAAAACTGGTTTGTATGGATAGTGTGGGCTACATCCTGCGCTGTCCTGATCGTGACGGCCGCTATAGCTTCATGCATCGTGATCAGAGTCCGACACAACAACGCTCGCTTCAGAAGAAAAAATAATTTAAAAACCACCACTAGTTATACTGAACAGGACAAAAAGTTGTTAGACGTCAGTATAACGACGACGGATCGCCAGACCGGCAGCTGTGAAGGACTTGGGTCTCAAACTGATATGGAATTTCTAGAGCATTCCCTACAATCCATCCCAGTGGAAATGTGCGATCAACCGGTTCACATAACGATCGAAAGCCACTCGGCAGAACCGGCCGTATCCGTTTACCAGCCCCCTCCGGAATTTTCGAGGAGCATACTACCCGCTGGTGCTTTTGGCAACATATTCATATCGGTCTCTGTCTCGCAGGAGCCGACTGTAGAATCTCCGAGATACCCGGACCTACTCGATCTGCCACACAGAAAAACTGTGGCTGTAGCTACAGACAACTCTTATTTCGCAACACTTCCACGTCAACCCCGTATCAAAGAAACCGAACCTGTTTTAAGGGTGAGACCTCAGTACGACAACATGGGCCCCAGGGTGACTGCAGCTGGAAGCTCAACGATATCTCTGCCTGATTCTGCAAATGCCGAAGAGGATATACCTCCTCCCCCACCCCCTCCAAATTGTACCCCTTTGACTGTCGAGTATGTCTCACTGTGAGTTATTTCAGTTATTTCGTCACTGCAACTTGCAAAGGTGTATTTGTTTGTTTTATTTAAAAAAAATCATCATAAATATTAAACTTTGAGTTTAACACTCTTTCCATGACCGTTTGACCGTATTAGAAATTTACTGTTTTCATTGTATATACAGTATCCAAATAAGGTGGGTCTTTCCATCTTTTTTGTTTCGACAAATATTTATCTTACACTTGACATTTTAATGCGTATAATTATATATGTAAAATTATGACATATTTAAATTCCATTTGTTCTGTATTTCTGTTTTAAAAGATCATTTCTAAACAACTCCAACTGCTCTCCATGGAATTATTACGATATATCAATAAAATCGCTAAAAATTTACGATTGTTTGTCTGTCTTATGAAAAGAATCTAGAATCTACTGCAATACTGCAAAAGAGTTTGCAAAAATTTAACGCATGTCTCGTAACATAGATAACACAGTTCAAGTATTAAAGAAGCATAATGGATATAAGAGTGCATTTGTGTTCAATTTCTAAGCAGTCTCATAAAATAGGAAACCATCGCTGATATATTCGGCATGTGGCCAAGCAACGAATTGAAATAGCAAATCTTTCAACTTGATTAGTCCCATATAATAAAACCAGTCTACCCAGAGCTTCTTCGAGAGTGAAAATTAAAACATATCTTTTTCATATTATAAAAACATTCTTCTAAAGCTGTATAAAAATAATAATAATGTTTAGTAGAATATTTTTCTAGGGCTTTTGTTGTATTATATAAGGCCTTTCTTCCGTAATAATTCCATCGATTGATTTGTTAAAAAATATAAAAACAAATAAAAAAGATATTTTGTGTTAATGTTTCAGTGTTCGATGTTAATTATCCAATACCTAAAACTGTGGGAGTGTTTTTTTTTTCAAAATATTAACATTTTTTGTTTGTTATTACTAATGAAAGCAATCATATTTCTTTATAAGAGCGTGGTAACTAGACTTTCTAGTTAAAATTAAAACATATATTTTTATATAAAAATTTCTTCCACACGTTTGTTTGATTTTTGGAGGTATGTCACCTGTATATAGTATATATATGTAGACCTGATCTTTACCCGCATATAGTTAATTATACATTGTCCTAATTGTACTATCAACGCACTATTGAAATTAATTTGTTATTTCCCTAATTAGGTTCAAGCGACGTTTATTATCACTAAGGGCAATTTCAGGTTTAAAACTGTCACAGCCCAAAACAGAAACGGAAATTAATTATTGTTTCATTCACATAAACATACGGCGGTGATTGAGCAAACAGTGTACGCTCAAATTAATTTTTCGAAAGGATCTAGGATAAAAGCCATTTGCTAATTACTGCATTTTTCATTTTTTTAATTTATTTTTTTTAAATTATTTATTTATTTATTTAATTTTTTTTAACGGTGAGAAATAAATTTTGAACTTCGCTCCCGCAGTTTTTCAAACATGGTTCGATGTGTGCACAATACGGTGTAAGAATGAAAATGATGTTAACATAGATATTACCGTTGTATATCAATGTTAAATTAGTTTATTAAATGGGAAATAGTAGTTACAATGAATTTTCTTCTACTCGTGTAGATTTTCACTTTTGTAAGATGGGAAGTAAACAATGAAACATGGAATTTTTATTTTAGTTTTATTTTTCGATTAAATTTGGGTTGAAGATAGAAAATTGAATATGAAGTGAGATAGCAGCACTGATAAATCACATTTTCTGTTCAACCACTGTAGAGTAATTTGGAGTCAATCAAATGATCACAAAGGGGCTATAAATTTCGTTTGAATTGAAATCATGTACAACCATTAAATGGTTTTAAAAACTTTTTTTAAAAAACTTCTAAATTTACACCAATTAGTAATTTCTTCATAAATGCCTATGCTTATTTAAATAAATAAAAATCAAACTGTTGAAAATTGTAAACCAAACATTGTTAAATATCTACGCATATCCAACTTTCGAACATTTCATTTGTTGTGGAATTTTTCTTATTACGTTAATGGTACCTGCTTAGTCATGCTGTAATGTTGTAATATTAAAAAACTATTAGTGTTTAGTTGTAGAAATATCTGTGTGTTATAAATATAAACATATATGTTATGTATATGCATATGGATATACATATACTTATATCTATATTTAGTAGCTGAAAGCAATTATTGTTTAATAAAATAAATATTTGAAGTAATTGTGTTTACGTTTAATCCTGAGGCAAATCGTTCATTAAAACTCAGGGCTAACAATTAGTTAGCATTGGAAGCAGATCGATTGAGCGGCTTGGACACATCCGCAGTTTGATCGTCACTGATCATCCTGGCACGACATTCCTGGAAGCTCAACCCGTTGAAATTATTTCGATGTATTCAACCTTCAGAACTTACACCATGCCAGGTTTGTTTTCCATAAATCAAAAGTTAAAATTATTTAAAAAACTGTTGATGGATAAATTCTAAACTTCATGAGGATATGCTTATTTTAAGAAATTCTGTGTGAATCGAAAAAACAATTTAAGTAAATTATTACAATTTATATTAGAGACAACGTTCTTAAAATATTGTAAATCATTTGAACTTCGATTACCTATGTTAAACATTTTATAAAATCATTACCTTTTATCAGATTTAAAAAATAGAAAACTTTTGATAAAGAATATTGTAATTGTAATATTTTATTCAATTTTTAACAAATTTAATCTTCAAAATCAACTATTTTTATTCAGTAAGTGTATTTATTTACATCAATTCATATCACAAATTTGAACCATTTGAAAGTGGTTTGTTGTTTATTCCTTCAGTCGCTTCCACTATTCGTGAGAGAGGTGCCTCTTGGCCGTCACCATGCCCAGTTCCTTTATGATTGTGTCGGTAAGCTCCAGGATATCATCGACCGATCTAACCCTAGTTCGGCCCCCTCTTCCTTTTACCATCCACATTTCCTAGCATAAGCTTCTCTCCAGGGTATCCTGTCTTCTCATCATCTGGCCAAAGTACTTCAGTTTTTCCCATTCATACCGTTCCCTTAAGTGAGCAGACTGGTTTTATTTCCTGGAATATGGATTGGGTTGATCTACACTATCTGGTTGTTTACACATGTGGGGGATTGTCACATGCTGTTTCTTTTGAATGTACCCTGCCACATTCACAAATTTCCCTCAGTGACGCGCAACGCAGGGAGATGTGTCCGAATTTATGGCATTTATAGCATCGCATGGGGGCCGGTATGTAAGGTCGTACTCTCAGGCGATAAAACGCTGCTTTCACTTCCTGAGGACATAATGGGGTGTCAAACGTGACCACTAGGCTTGCAGACGGCATAGTTAGCCCGTCCCGTCGAGCGCCCAGCTGTCTAACCTCTAGCACCCCTGGTCCTTCAGGCCTTCCTTGATATCTTCGGTGCTGCTTTCATAAGGTCGCGGTAGGTCACCACCCCCCTTGAGGTATTCAACCTCTGGTGGGGAGCTACCTCGACCTCATGACCGGCGAGAGGCTTAAGGCTTGTTAACCTCGCTTTACATTGTTCATCGTTTATACCCACACACAATTTCCCTTCTCTTGTTTTTGTTACACTTTCTTGCCTATGGATTATGTAATACTTCTCTGCAAAAGGAAGGGGCATGTCGTTTTAAAGTCCCCTTCTTTCCGAGAAATAACAAAGTACTCGTGATGTAGGTCTCCGTTAACGGGGTGATGCCCTGTACACGTATCCCCAGCGTTGAGCCTCTTTGCTTTTTCTTTTTGTTCTTTTTCCTTGCCATGTTGTCTTCTCGTTCTTCTTTCATTTTTTTGTCGCTGGTGACGTTAGTGATAGTGGATCGTATGGTTCCAGAGTCACAGCTTGCTCGTTCTTGGGGGAGCAGGTTAGTTCTCACTTTCTTTTGGACGGAGCGAACTTCCATTCTTCCTCCATTGTCGTGTTGCCCGTTTCGTTTCTGGTGATACGTACACCAACGTCGGTGCCACCGTTTACACCGTCGTTAGGGGCCTTCTGGGTCGCGAAGCCCGTGGCAGCCTCCACCAAAGGTTCGGTCAGTGAATCTCCTTCGGTAACTTTCTGAACACTTGTAACATTATGTGTCACGGGGGCCAAGTGTTCAACCCCCGTGGCATTGCAGTAGCTTGATGACGACGCCCCGGGGCCTGCTCGCGCACCCCTGTCGGCCGTCGGCACTGGGGACCTTCCCCCCTGCACCGTAATGTTTACTCCATTTCTATTTTCCATCGGTGGTTTTTGTCAGGGTGCCTTCCCTTAGTGTTTTATACCTATGACCAGGTTGGGAAAGGGGGTGTTGGGAAAGGATGTGTTTGGGAGTGAAAAGGACTGGACATTATGGGGAGAGGGATGGTCGATTCTCCTCACTGGGATAACGGTGAGGAAAAGGCTCGTTTAGTCGCCTCATACGACAGGCAGAGAAAGCGTGGGCCTATTCTACCCCGAAACCCACACAGGCGCGGACCTTTGTTGTCAGTGTTTCTGCTCATAACTGTTTTATCAACATTTGCCATTGCTCTCCTCCCAAGAAGTAGACGTCTTGTAATTTCCTGGCTGCAGTAATCATTGCGCCTAAAAATACAAAGTCTGTCACTGCATCCACCTTTATTTTTAACTCCAGCCTTCGATTCCTGAAAACTCAGAATGTAGCATGATGTGTTCTATGTACATGTTGAATAGGTAGGTTGAGAGTATCCAACCCTGCCTTGCTCATTTTAAACCAGTGCGATGTTCCGTGATCTGTTCTTATCGTTGCTACTTGGTCGTTATACAGATTCCTCAGGAGATAGACAAGAGGACTCCCATAACGTCCCATAACCCATCCCCATAACGCGAAGAACTTACCAATTGCCTGTCATATTATGCAGCGGATTTTGACAATTTAGTCTCTAGTTCCTTTGCCTTTTCTGAACCCAACTTGTATATCTGGCAATTGTCGTTTCATGAATTCACTCACGTGTCTATCCTACATTTTTGGACTTTACCTCTCCCAGTAATAGTAAATCTCATTCTGCCTATATTTCAGCATCAACAGAGGACATTGTGTTTTCTTCTTTGTGGCATTATCTGCGTAGGCTTGTTTCTGCATTTCTGAATCAACAGAACTGCCTCCGGAGTCTATAGTGTTTAGTGGTTCAGTCATTAGTTTGACAGTTGTGATTTTGAACACATTCTCATTAAACCGAAGACATATTCTAAAAAAACATTGTATCATCGTTTACAGCTATTTGGTATGCCGCAAACCGGTCCAGGGCTGTTAGGTGTCCTGGTCCATGGTAAGTTCGACTCACCGCGTGTTCCTTCTGTCTTATATGCCCTGGTACGAAACAAGAGTGATTTTCCTGTTTCCTCCATGGGGTCTTAATGCTTGCCCTATACTTTTTTACAGATCAACGATAAATGTTGCTCTTTCTGGTTTCTCCGGTGGCCGTTCCCACTGCCACACTTCGCCCACATCACTGGGCCAATCGTGTACCATTTTAGCATGCCAGGGTCCGTTAGTATTGTTTGGTATGCTCAGCGGCCGGAATCGTCGAACGAGTGGTTGAAAAGCCTCGCTCTCTGTCCATGTGTCCACAGCCTATGTATAGTGGGGACCTCAAAGCGGTTAGGGAAAACTTGTGGAAGTTATCGAGAGTTGTTTAATCCCGCGATATCCCTGAGCGTCTTTTAGTATCAGGGATGCATCCTCGTGTCAGCACTACAACACCATCGGCTCGAAAGAAATTTTTTCTGGTGTAATTCCGAAAGGGCTTCTCTTTAAACCTCGTATTTTCCTGCCGGAGCCTAGTCCCATCCGGCGCTCGGAGGGACATTTCGTAGGCGACCGCCGAATCTCGGAATTTGCATGATTCTCCGAGCACGATGGCATCACATGGGTGAGTGTTTTACAACTTCTACATTCCGCTGGTATACTGGATCCGCCCTCCTCATCTCACTGTTACACATTGAATTGGTCCTAAGACGGTCCTAATATACATAGACTACTAACGAATTAAAGATCCTTCATGAAGTCATCAATTGCCCCCCGCGTTGTCGAAAAACCCTGCCTATCCGAGATATCTTATCTTTTATTGCTAATAAAAAGATAGGTTTATCTCCCTGGAAAACAGTTTTATGTGTTCCCAACCTGAAATACATTGACAATTTGTCTATGACTTATATCAATTGTAGCCCTAAGTTTATTGTTGCTCTTTGTTAGCAAGAGATACTTGCTCTTTTGTTCAAAAATATACACTTAATATCCTATTTCCTCCACTCTGTCTTAAAGCCATCTGTATACAAGTTATAGTCAGCATTAACTGGGATTCCTTTCTCTCAGTATGGCCTACTTGCTTTTTCCATCATCCTCAGAACCACCTGAAGTTCATCCAAAAGCTCTTTAGAAGGCTAGCAGGTTATTGGTGCTTGTCCCTGCAATAGCCTATTAATTGCCTTTGACCGGTACTGAATACCGCTCACAGCTGTAAGGTCCTCCATTTTCCAGGGCAGGGTTTTTTTCCATTAGTATCCAACAAAATACCGATTCTTATGTTATAATAGGTCTAACAATAGGAACATTTTTAGATTTTACCCCTAGAATTGTAGTTGGCGTACTCACTAGTATTCTGATTTGAAAATCCTTATCAAAACTGATTTTCGGAATCATCGTGTTAACAAGCATCGCCAAAGCCTTGCACGCCTGAAATTCTTCTCGAAGCGTTACATGTTACTTCTTTTGCCGGTAAGCCTAATTTGAGCTAGTAACTGGCTTAACCTGTGATTTCTCCATTGTCTTCCTCGATCAGGCTATGAAGTAGAAGTAGATTCGTAAGGGTTGTTTTCATTCCTCCAGTAATGCCTATGAAGCAGGTTTCTGGAACAAAAGTTGATAGGATAAATAGTTGATATTTAATAGAGAAACCTGTTCTAAATGAAAATACAATCGTATGAGTAAGATTTGTGGATATACTGCCGGTCAATCGCATAAAAGTTGTCCAGGAAGAGACGGACTTCAAGATAGATAGAGATAGTTTTTTCTAGGCGAAGGGCATTATGAAGTAAATATTAACGGAAGCTGTACTAGTGGTCAGGAATAACATTAATGCTGTTCACGTGGTTTGCAGTATG